TAAATGTTTAGAAAAGGCGAACAACGAATCGTTTTGTATTGAGGCAGTGATGGTATGCCTTTAGATACGAGCCATGAGTTATATTCAGTCCAACCATCGCTCATGGATTTATCCAACAATTGTCTTATGCGAGACCACTCTTTCGGGTCACCATTTGTGGGCAAACCTATAATTTTTTATATACAAATAGTTTAATATATACTGTAATTATAAAGTTATAAAACGCATACCTAAGCCCTGAGGCGGCAGTTTTGGTTCATCGATACCGCATTGAAATGACAACGGATTGCATGACATAATCAAAACCCATGGTATGGACGAACACATTAACGATGGGATAACAAGGATGTGATCCGTGAGAATTACATCGGGTTTTACTCTCTCGACAATCTCTTGGAGAAAAGGCTCGTTATCTTTGACTTCTTGGACCTCATCTTTTAAGAGTATTTTGCAAATATCTATCATTTTGTCGAGTCTTGTCTGCGAACCGAATATGTCTTTGATTTCTTCGACCTTCTGTTTGGCGGACCCATCACTGGCTGTGCCATCGGATGAGCCAATGATTTCTTCCTCAAAGCCATGAACGTTGAGTTTTCCCCTCCAATCACTTCTCACTGCAAACACAACTCTGTGACCAAAATCTCGCAGCACTTCTCCGATACCAATGGAGGCATTGATAGGACCGACCAAATTAATGGGCGAGAACAACACTGTTAGACCCATTTGTTACCATTTATTTTATTTTGTCACTATGTTATTTTATAAATTGCAATTGCCTAATGTTATTGCAATTGTTTAAAAAATCGTAAATTAGTTAACAAAATTGCAAAATATTATTTTAAGTATTTTGAGTAACAACACTATTGTAAATTGATATTAGTAGTTATAAAATGTAATCAATAAGGTTAAAATTATCAGCAGTGTTTTATAAATTATCGATTAATTATAGAATGCCAGATGTATTATTTTCAGTTTAAAAATAAAATCATTTTTATTTTAATAAATGTTGAATTTAAAAATCTATTAATATTTTATAAGAAAATAACTATTCTATAATATTTTACATACATGTGTATATTCTACACAACAAAAACATTTTCAGATTCTTCGAAAGGAATTTTTAAAATATTTAATTGTGTAAATATTATGATCACTCTATAGTATTGTGCAATTCTGTCATTTAATAAGACTTTGTTCTCAAATACATAAACATAAATATAATGAAATTCTTAGATTTTAATTAATGAAAGGCAACTTATTTTCGAAAACATTTCTTCTAAATAATATATATATAAATTGATTTATAATAATTCCTTTTAAAATATAAAGGTCAATTTAAAATCTTATATAGATTTAATATTTTGTTTTGATGTATCAGAAAATTTAATTTAACAAATATTAAGTTTAATTTACTAAACTGTTACACACATACTGTAATATAATGTACAAATATAACTTATAATGAATGCATTTAAAGCATTTAACTTTTCTAAATCTAATGTCATAACATTTATATCCATAAACATAACATGGATCATGGATATCTAATGCAATACTTAAACAATGCACAAAAATATTACATTAATTTATACTATTAATTTCAAAAATATCTCCACCCCCTAAAATAAAATCTGATCTCAATTTTGAACAAAGATTGAAATTATTAAATATAAATACATTGAAATGTCGAGAATTATCTGCTTTAAAATTAGTGCAAAAAATTAAGTGTAATTTTAGTGATGTTCCGATTAATTGAATAAATTAAGTTTAATAAGACTTTAAGGAATGATAACTTTTTATAGAATTAATTTAGTATATAAATATTTTATCAATTATTGTACTAAACTTTATAACAATTTACCAATCAATTAGCGTAATGAACAATGTTAGAAAACATTTGTAAAACAATTACATGCTATCTTAATATGAATACAACACGTTACACTGTGAGTGAAAACAAGTGAAATTGAATCAGTAATTAACCAAAAAAAGAGACTATGCTTTGCGAATAATTAGACATAGATGGTTAATTAGACGTTGCAAATATATGGGTAATTTTAAAGCAGATAATTCTCGACATTTCAATGTATTTATATTTAATAATTTCAATCTTTGTTCAAAATTGAGATCAGATTTTATTTTAGGGGGTGGA